GCTTCCCCTCTCACAAGAGTCACCTAAGAGGGGAATTCCCATTTTCAAAAATGAAATTCAGGCCTGAATAAATGTCTTAAAATCCTGATTGGAGTATCACTATAAATAGTTATAAATGATAAAAAGAAGGCTTTAAAAAGATCGGTATCGGCAGATACTGCTTTCTGTGATCGGCGATCAGTGATCGGCCTCAAAAATCCTGATCGGAGCACCCCTATAAAGCACAATAACCTCAACCCTTACTATGGGTTTACCACAGTAACCGTAGTTTTACTGTGGTATTTGTAGTTAAAGCACAATAACTTCAATATTTTCTATGGGTTTACCTCAGTAACCTAAGTTTTACTTTGGTATTTGTAGTTAAAGCACAATAACTTCAATATTTACTATGGGTTTACCTCAGTAACACATACCATGTTTTTACCACAGTAACTGTTTTTACTGTATACTATTTTTAAAACACAGTAACCACAACGTTTGCCATGCCTTTAATAACTTTTTGTGAAGTAATTGTAATTCAGTCTTTATTTTTTTCTGTGTCTTGTAGTTAAGTCAGATCACATACTCCAGCAGCTCTTTAAATCTCTCTCTCTCTCTCTCACAGCTTTTCCTTTCCTATTTTTCCAAACTGTAATCCATAATTCATTTACACATAGCCTCTCTTTCTGTGGTTCATCATGGCATGTTTTTAAAACTCAGAATCAAATTTTGACCAATTCTTTCAGAAAGCTGCTAGAATTAACAAGATGGTCCTCACCGCAGAACACACGATCCAGGGGGCGTGGTTGGACCCAGATCCAACTCCTCCCACCTTACATATACCTAAACCTACCCGTCTCCACCCCCTGATCCCTAAACCCACCCATCTCCACCCCTAAACCTACCATCTCCACCCGCTAGATGTGGATCCAACCCTGCCCCCTGGATCTTTGTTCTGCAGTGAGCGGCTACTGGAATTAACAGGGAACTTGAACTCGAAGCTCCCAATGCTGATCTTGAAGAAGCTGCCAAGCAGGCTGAACACGTCCTTCAAAGGTTCAACCCTTCACAGGTTTTCTTGAACACTTTTAGTAATAACTGATTTGCTTTAATGAACACATCCTTATATTATGTGTTGATCATATCTTTTCTTATAGTCCTTCCTCTCAAATATTTTGGTCACAGAAAATTTATAACACTGTCTCAACATATATATATTTCTGTTTGTTTCAGCTGAAAGGGAAGACCAAAGGAAGGCCTGTCATGGGATTTGAATTTGGCCATACTGTGTGTTTACGGAGAAGACCAAAAGCTGCAAAGGAAAACACTTCCAATGGTCCGTCTGTGTTGGTCTGAGCACCTTGACTGAACTGTACTGCAGTTACATTTGCACAGCATTTGATGCTTCTTTAACTTTGGTTTACATAGCCCATCAGGAAAAACACTCAACAAAGTGTCATGTAGAAGTAGTAATAATTCATACAATTTACCAAGTCAGCAAATGCATATGATATTGTACAAGCGTACTCATACAAAATTCTACGACTTTTACTCCTGCTGTCATTGGCCGTTGCCTCAACTCTCATGCAGATTGTGCCCATTGTAAGTAGTCAGAGTGTTTGTATCATGAAGTTTATATTAAGTCCATTGTATTCTTTATTAACCTTAAAAAATTGGCGCCGTCTCTTCTCGTTCTAACAGTACATGATATCTGTCCACACCTCATAGTCTGCCTCGATTTTTATTGAACGCATCTGTCTAAGAAGCAAGAGTCTGGAAATGGCAAGTTTAACTTGTCACGTGACAAATCAGATCTTCAGTTAATTTGGCCAAATCAGATCACTTAAAGCTGTTTACACCAAGAACAAGAAATATAATAGTAAATATTTTAGCATCCACACCAACAGACAATAATGGTCTGTTTACTGTTATACACGCTGCAGTTACAGAATGTTGTTGTCTGCTGTTTGTTGTTGTCAATGTTTTTATTGTTCATCTGCTGGAAAAATCTGTTCTGAAAGAGATTCCAACGATATTGTTCCTCTGTGTCCTTAAATGTTAAATAGCTCTGGTGTGGACATCCTTGGTATGAAGAGGCCTTTAAACTGCTTACAACAATACTTTCAGCATGTAATCATATTTAAAATAATTTATATTAATATAGCTTGCTATTGAAGAATACAGCTTTTTCTTATGCTGCTTTCCTTTCATTCTGTTACACTTACACACACATTTTTTTTCTTTCTCTGCCTATTTCTCTTCATCTTATTCCTTTACTCCATCACTCACTTACACATTTTTTTGTAATCTGTTGTAAGGTAGAAACTGAGAGTTTGCATGATGGCCTTTTCTCAGACTCTGAATCTGATGTATACAGATGAACTTAGGAGCCTGCGAGAGTTGCCAGGGAACTTTAGCTTGAAGTTTACTATTATAACTGCTTAATTTATGATTAAACAACAGTAAATAATTAAGCAAGGGGTCAATAGATATTTTCTTGTTTTACAGCTGAAGACCAAAAACGCACCACCAGTGATTACCACATGTATGATTGCATTCACCAGTCCTGATGAATGAGGAACGAACATGGCCTTCTTGTGCCCAAACAGAAAGACAGAGAGCTGAAAAGTTGCACATTTCCACTGGTATGTTTGTATTCAAGCAATGCAGTAATGTGTGATACAGCATTGATGTTGATCTCTCAAAAGACAGCATAGTTACTTCAAGTCAGCAGTTATCATTTTTCACATATACATCTGTTTATAGCTCCTAGAATGAGCAAATCAGCTGTGCCATCATCTTTGGAATTTGGGCAGAAAATGACTGAATATGGTGAGTACTGACACCTGCACCTGTATTCACCAACACGATTGCTCTAGAGTTAATGTTGACTTATTGTTTTGTCTGTTTGTTTAAAGGAAGATGAAGCCAGTTGATGAAGATATCAATTCAGTGGCTACCAAGGGCTGCACTGCTGCCTGAACCCATCAGTTATCAGCTGTGAAGACTGCATTCGCAAACAGCTCTACTGTGACAGCTCAGATGTTACAGCCCATAAAAGTAAACTTCAGAACTGAACAACTGCAAGATAGTTGTGGAGGGATTCTTTTGGCCCATACCTCCAACAACCTCCCAACAAGAATCAATGGTAAGTCAAGTGCAACAATTATAAATAAAAATACTCTATATTGTTTATTGATTTACCACACCCTAAATACATGTTTTGTCCCTCCAGGACATCTACAAAACCCCCCATCCTTCTTCGTAACAATGAAGTAACGGCTGTAGAACTCGGAGTCTGTCTCGTGCGGAGGGACCACGTCGATGGCCTCCTTCTTTAAGAGAGTAACTACTTCTTGTTCTAATACCAGAGCCTGCTCGGGACCTACTAGAGTGGGGGTGACCCCGTTGAATCGAGGCGGACGAGAACCGAACTGGATTCTGTAGCCTCTCTCTACAGTGTGCAGGACCCACTGAGACACATTTGGAAGGGAATCAGTCTCTTGAGACTGATCTCTGGTGTGCCCAGAACGGCTAGTTGCTCTGGGGACCTCCGCAGAGGCTGCGAGGCTCTCAGTGCTGCTACGTTGCCGGGCGGTAACTGAAAGACATGCTCGCTGGAGACTGCTGCACCCTGCAACACCGGCAGGGTTGGCAGAACGATCTCCCGATGGCACTGGGGGGAGACAGGCACCGTGTAATGCGGTGTGAACCTCTCTTCCCCAGAAGGGCCTGCCCTCGCTAGTCCTGCACCCAAATAGTCAGGACCGTTTGGTCGAGGACCTCTTAGCCTGAAGGATGGTCCGCAGATCTGGCTGTTTTTGAGTCTCCCTCTATGAGGAGCTGGTACGCGGTGGGGACTGATCCCGCCAAGCAGCCTCCAGAGATGAGATGTGGCGAGGGAGGAACTGCTGAAACGCCGCTGCCTGTTTACAAGCTTCCTGGTCCCTGTCGACGACGGAATTGACGGCGTCGCCGAACAGGCCAGAAGGCGCAAGCGGGGCGTCGAGGAGGAAGACCCTGTCTTTCTCTTTCATATCAGACAGGGTCAACCACAGATGCCTCTCTGCTGCCACCATAGCTGCCATGGACTGCCCAATGGGGCGGGCGGTCTCCTTGGTGGCGCGGAGAGAGAGATCAGCGGTTCTTCATAACTCCGCGATGTTATCAGAGTTAAGCTCCTCGCCCTCATCCAGCTCTTTAAGCAGGTCTGCCTGGTATGCCTGTAACACCGACATTGTGTGCAGACACGAACCGGCCTGACCTGCTGCCGTGTACCCCTTGCCCACCAGCGCTGCTGTTGTACGCAGCGGCTTGGAGGGCAGTGCTGGAGCCTTTAAGGATGATGCCATGCCTGGGGACAGATAGCTAGCTAGCGTCTGTTCAACCCGGGGCATCGCCTTATAGCCACGCTCCCGCGAGTAAGCACCTCCACTAGCTCCTTATACTGGGGCGATTGAGGGGGTGAAACCTCTTCGACGCCCTCCACGTCAACCTCCTTGGAGGAAGACAGGTGGAGCATTGAGCCCTCACCCGTGTATCCCCACCCATGATGTAACGTGGGCAGGGAGGAACACACAACCTGTAACGCTTGCTCTCGCCCTTTGAATGCTTTGTCTTTGCGTGAGCTTTAGACATAGCTGGAGCTTATGAACCTTTTCACAATTGACAGACAACAATAAATATGACTGACACACACAGAGCGCTTCGCTGAATGACAGAAAGCTGACGTCGGCTCCGCCGCACGTGCTTTTATAGCTTCCTGGTCATGACGTCACCCGCCCGTGACGTCCCGCTCAGCTATTGGACTGATTTCACATGTGATTCAGAGCGTGGTCACAGAAGGCGTTCCCGAAGCGTTTTCCGACGCAGCTCGAGTTCCTGAAGAGGAACCTGCAAGACAGGAACAAATAGAATTTATCACATGATGAACAATGAAAACATTGACAACAACAAACAGCAGACAACAACATTCTGTAACTGCAGCGTGTATAACAGTAAAAAGACCATTATTGTCTGTTGGTGTGGATGCTAAAATATTTACCATTATATTTCTTGTTCTTGGTGTAAACAGCTTTAAGTGATCTGATTTGGCCAAATTAATTGAAGATCTGATTTGTCACGTGACAAGTTAAACTTGTCATTTCCAGACTCTTGCTTCTTAGACAGATGCGTTCAATAAAAATCAAGGCAGACTATGAGGTGTGGACAGATATCATGTACTGTTAGAACGATGCTTTAAAAATTCACAACAAGCTGATCATCTTGAACTGTACATAGTACATCATTAATACTCCATACATCACAAAAGAACACCACATTATTTGTAAGTCTATAATAAGCAAATTCAATTTTCAGTCTTCCCTCTACCAATCGTCTAAATATCATTTCAGGATCTATTGTAGCAAGTTATAAACCTTTGTTCTTTCTTGTTTTCCAAATTGCTAGTTTAGCTGTTCCAATAAAATTAATTAATTTATTAATTCAATAAACAGATTTTCCTCCTCATTGAGAAAATGTATTTCATTCCCCCAATAAACACAGCCAATTAAAATTCCTCACTAAATCTTCTAAACCAAGCTTTAAGCAAATTAAAAAGGTCTTGCAATCTGCTACACCTTAAAAACAAATGTTCTAGATCTTCCTGCTTCCCACAAAAACGACATTCCCCAACTACTGCCGGGTTCAGATGTGCTACATGTCGGTCTGTAGCTATTGCCCCGTGAATAATCCTCCACTGTAGATCAGCAGTACGCTTCTCTACAGGGGGTTTATACAGGGCCCGCCACCTGTCCTGCACGAGAAAGTCTGGCTGTAACAGTTTGGGCCATCGAGAAACTTTTTGTCTCTTCAATGTATCTCTGTGTGTGATTTTAACTGAAGTGCAATACATTGCTTTCTTAGACACATCTTTAAAAATGCCTAACTGAGGGGTCTTAAAAAATAAAATCAAGTCCACAACTTCACCGTCATCTTCCTCATCTATGACAGGTTACATTTTTATTTCTGGAACAACTTGGCCATCTCTCATGTCCTGTGTTTGTTTTAATCCTATCCAAGTTCTGCAACCACTTGGTAATACATTACAAATTTCTTCCTTCAACTTTGAAACAAGGCGTAAGGACTTTAAACCCGTCATCACTTGAAGTGCCTCAATGGACTTCCAGCCCCTCTCATCCAAGAGATGTCCAAGTTTCGTAACACCATTCCTTAGTAAACATCTCCTCACACCCACAGAGGACAGCAGTCTTGTCTCGATCATTGGGTTGAAGAACAATGGTTCCTCTGGAGTCCAATGTCCATAATCATTCATGTCTCGCTCCACTCTAAAAACAGTTCTCCATATCTGTAGCATAGACTTATAAAAAAGTGGAAGCTCCGACAGGCTTACTTCCTGTAATTTCATTAAAAACAGGTGTTTATCAAGTCCAAGTCCTCCTGCCCGCTTCAAAATTGCGCTTGCCGTTTTGGCCCATGTCACATCCTTGTTGTAAAAAAATCTCTGTACAGCATGTATCCGAAGGCCCGGATCCTACTCCTCACATCCACCAAACCTTGACCACCCTCTTGAACTGGTAAATAAAGTGCAGCTGCACGGATCCAGTGCTGTCCACTCAAAATTTTTTTTACAAAAGTCCTTTGTATGTTAGAAACAAGTTCCTCAAGTGGCTCCATAGCTATAGTCCTATGCCACAACATTGAAGCCGCAAGATTATTTACAACCAGAGCTCTCCCCCTATAGGACAATTGTGGCAATAGCCATTTCCATTTCGACAATTTAGCAGACACCTTCTCTAGCAGACCCTCCCAATTTTTCTTTTGAAATTGATCATTCCCCAAAAAAACTCCTAATGTTTTCAATCCGTCCTGTCTCCACCGTAACCCACCCGGGAGTTGAGGAAACCCAGTACCTTCCCACCTACCAATAATAAACCCTTCACTTTTAGACCAATTAACTCGAGAAGAAGAAGCTTTTTCATATACTCCAATAGTTTGATTTAAAGTTGTAATATCCTCTTGACTTGTAATAAAAACTGTTATATCGTCAGCATACACTGATAAAAACAATTTAAAATTATCATTTGAATTTGGAATTACAACTCCAAATTGTACAACTCCACTTACGCTTTGAAACAAGGCGTAAGGACTTTAAACCCGTCATCACTTGAAGTGCCTCAATGGACTTCCAGCCCCTCTCATCCAAGAAACTTGGGCCAATGAGAAACTTTTTGTCTCTTCAATGTATCTCTGCGTGTGATTGAAGAAGATTGATTCTTCCTCAATCTGCACAACAAAGGTTCAATAACCAAACTATATAACTGCCTGTAAAGTGGACATCCTTGCCTAATGCCTCTCGACACAGGTATTGGTTCACTTAATCCACCACCTGCTTTAACCATAACAGAAACATTACAATACAACAACTGAATATAAGATATAAATCTGTCACCAAACCCCAAATATTTTAACACATTAAAAAGATATTCATGATCAACTCGATCAAATGCTTTTTCTTGATCAAGTGACAGAACTCCAAAATTAACATGATAAAAATTATTAATGTTGATTATATCCCGTAATAAAAAAAGACTGTCCATTATAGATCTTTCAGGTATACAATATGTTTGATCATTTTGAACCAAAATGTCTAAACAGTTTTTAAGTCTATTTGATAAACATTTGGAAAATATTTTATAATCAGCACATAGCAAAGATACTGGTCTCCAGTTCTTAAGAAGTCCCAAGTCCCCTTTCTTTGGAAGCAGAGACAAGACTGCTCGACGACAGCTTATGGGAAGAGTTTCGCTTCTAATGCAGTCTAGTAACACTTCATAAAAATCTTGTCCTATTATATCCCAGAATTGTTGATAAAAATCTACAGGTAGTCCATCAATTCCTGGAGAACGGCCAATATGTAACTGATACATTGCTTCTGTAAGTTCTTTAAAAGTAATTAAAGTGTCTAGTTCCTTTATTTGTTCATCCTCAAGCTGAGGTAATTCTTTAAGCAAGTCATCAACACTTTCAGCATCACAGCTCTTAGCACTGTTTAAATGTTGATAAAAATCTCTTGTTAACTTTCTCATTTCAACTGGATTTGATGTCACTGATCCATTCTGATGACGAAGATGGTACATTTGTTTTTGATTAACACAT